TCTCCAATAAATGTATTTACATAAATAAACTTTAACTTACCACGTTTTTGGTATTGTCTCAAATTTATTAGTAAATATAAAAAATAATTTTATATTTGCAGATTTACTTATCGTTTCACATACTTTAATTATTGTTATTTCACTTGACACTGATGTTGTTTACTGCGTGTTTAAATGGTTTTACTATTTGACAGCAGACGACTCATTGTGAAAAATTATAAGTATACCGTTTGTCCGCTAGAGGTGTTACAATCTGTTATCTCAAATTTTTTATTTAATTCCCCTGAGCTGGGGCCATGGTTGAACATGAGTGCGTGCTCCTTATACTACTTCATGGTTAGGATGTTAGGTTTATGCGCGTCGATCCCGGGTTCGAATCCCAGTCCCCCCAAATTTGTTTTCAAAATTTTCTGCTTTATGTCAGGTTTCCAAAATAGAGAAGAGCAACAAACTTAACTTTCTAATTTAATATTTATTTATTATATTATTAATAGAGGTGTGCAAAAAGCTCGAAAAGCCGAGCCGGGCCGCAATTTTTTCGAGTCGAGCCGAGCCGAGCCCGAGCCGGGCTCGATGTATCGGGTACCCGAAATTTTCGAGTACCCGAATTCACTCGAGTACTCGAATATTTCGGGTACTCGAATGAATTCGGGTAACCGAAATTTTCGAGTACTCGATTTAATTCGAGCTTTTAAATTAAAAAAAAATTTTTTTTGAAAAAAAAAAAATTTAATTAAAAATTAATGTAGAAAATTTTGGATTTTCTCAAGGGCTCGAATCAAATCGAGTACTCGAAATTTTCGAGTACCCGAAAGTTTCGGGTACTCGAAAAATTCGAGTACCCGAAATTATTCGAGCTTTTTATAAAGCTCGGCTCGAGCTCGAACTGAATAGGCTCGGCTCGGCTCGGCTCGAAAAATGAAAAGCTCGAAAATACCCGCTCGAGCTTCGGGTTTCGAGCTTTTTGCACACCTCTAATTATTAATTATTTTGTCAATATTTTCCATAACTGGTAAACTTATCACAACCTTACCTTAACCTTACCTCAACCTTGACATATAACCTTAACTCAACCTTAACGTGTAACGTTACCTCAACCTTAACGTGTAAGGTTACATCAACCTTAACGTGTAAGGTTACATAAACCTTAACGTGTAAGGTTATCTCAACCTTAACGTGTAAGGTTACCATAGCCTTATCATATATACTTACCACACTCTAACATGTAACCTTACCTCCATGGCGGAAGTTTTTAGTTCACCTCAGGTCTACCACAGCAATATCGTGTAACCTTATGAGCCTTACGATTAGTACTCAACATAACCTTACCTCATACTATTGTGCTATGTGGGAATGTAAAACATAACCTCACTTTATTGGACCAATTCTAACTTTTTGTATGTAACAGGTTTGTTAAATTAATATTTATACATATAATAAGAGTATATAATCTTGAAAAGAAATTGTCTTCTGAATTTAAAAAATTAGTTATTTTAATTAACTCAAATAATTAAAGCGAATTTTAAAAAAGTTTTTTTTCTGAAGGAATTTTCATTAAAACTAAATTTTGATTTAAAATAAATTTTTATTATTAAATCAAAATTTTAATATTAAATAATTTAAAAAATTTGTTATTTAGTTGTCAACAGTAAAATAAAAGAACAAAATTAAAAATATAAAAAACTATAAACTGTAAAACCAAAAGATTTATTTTATAGAAAATATTTCGAAAATGTCAATACACAACTGTTTAGTTACTGAAACTGACGGTAGCGCTAACGCCACGACAAACTTTGGAACATAATTTCTCGGAACGCCTCGATAGTGCCATGAAAATAACTGTACAGGACTTCTATGCAGTAATAATCAAGTTCAACTTTATATTTTCTTTAACAGTGTTATGCAGTAGCTGTCTAGTAATTCGCCAGTTAAGCTAGATTAAACTTCCATGACTAAAACTGTACAGTAACTTGAATAAATCTACACGGAAAAAAAAAGTTCGAGGATTATTCGGGAACTTCGTTCTTAACTCTTGGATACGGCGGGTAGTACACGGATAACTAAAGGTTGCCTCGTTTAAATATGTAATTTACTATTTCTCTACAAATTATAACTATTTCACCACTTCTCGGCAAACTGTTCTTGAAAAAGTCGGGAACTGTTCAAGAAAATCGAAAAGTTAGGCGAATGCAAGAAAAAATGGATTCTGCTTCCCCCCTCCCACTTCCCCTCCTTGACACGTGCGCACACACACACACATTTATCCTTGAAGGTCACATACAATTTTTATTTTTTATTAAGTTTCTGAAATAGAAAAAACCATATTAGAGAAAAATCGACGGCGGCTGGAACAGAACTCGCGTACCCGAGAATAGAAGTCCGGCGTCTTATCCAGCTGAGCTAAACAGGCGAGTTAAATACCTCAGCATAAAATAAATATATAAGGCACGCAAGTCTTACTGACGGTGAGACTTGTTGAGACTGGTGCGCACAGTTTCTGCGCACCAAGATTTCTTGACGAGTTCCCGAAAATTTCAGAAACAGTTGCGGCCAGTGCCATGAACTTTACATGAGAAAGTAATGAAAAAGAGACTAATGGACTATTTATAGCTTTTTCTAATACAGTTCCCAAATTTCTTTCAAACATTCATTGATTACCATTGAATGTTCGTCGCTAGTTCAGAGCTGTTACCACGTATCCAAGAGTTAGGAAATAATTCCTGAAATATTATGGGAACTTTTTTTTTCCGTGTAGTCTGATAAATTTCTACTAGGGGTTAGGCCTACCGTTTTCGCTGTGTATATAAAAATTTCAAAATAAATAGATCCCATCGTTTGCCCACGATCGGACAAGGCTTAAAAATTGTTAATTCCCAATGGGAAATGCCAATGTAGTGCCGATGTTCACCACTGGCTTAGTACTCAGACGATTGTTCGGCGTAGTCTAGCCGAGCCTCGACAATTAGTGCTGGCGCAGTACAGAATTTTTGTTTCGCCAAAGCTTGGACAATCCACGGCGGCAAGTGCTGGCTGAGTATAGAAAAATTGTTCACAACGCTCTTTGCCAACATTGCTTTTTTGACATAAACTTGAAAAAAAATTATAAAAAAAGTTTATGAATGTTTATAAATATAAATTTATTGAAAAAAATTAATATTTTACTTTTCAGTTCATTTTTTATTTTTATTAAATTTAATAATAATAATTTAACATAATTGTCTACTTTTTTAAATAATAATTTATTTACACAAATTAAAATTATAAACAAAATTTAAACTTTAATCTCAATAATAATTTGGTTCCTATTAAAATACTATTATACTTCTTACTATGAATAAAAAATTATCACATAATTTAAGAATTACGTAAAATGTTAGTCTCCATCTTTAATACAATTTCTTTTAGAAGAGAAATATTTTATGAATAATAACTATTTATTAATTAAGGAAGATTTCGACTATATCAGCAATTAGTGACATCTATTAGAAGTCAATTGAACTCTTTGGTTTAGAGTCAGGTGTTATTCTTAAGATAATTATTCCGATATGGTTGTCGGTAAATAATTATTTTTTTTGAATTTAATTTTTGATCTGAAAAAATAAGCTGCGTGAACGACTGCACTGTGCATCTGTGAGGACTCGAACCCCAGTTAATAGCTGCCTTTCGCGGGACTAACGCCTACCAATGCACCATGCCAACACAGCCTGGACGTTCACGTTTCTTATAATCTCAGATCAAGCCCATACACTAGTCGAAGAGCTGTATAGTTAATGTAGGAAATTATTTGCTGATGAAGAATTTTAATTAAGGAAGATTTCGACTATATCAGCAATTAGTGACATCTATTAGAAGTCAATTGAACTCTTTGGTTTAGAGTCAGGTGTTATTCTTAAGATAATTATTCCGATATGGTTGTCGGTAAATAATTATTTTTTTTGAATTTAATTTTTGATCTGAAAAAATAAGCTGCGTGAACGACTGCACTGTGCATCTGTGAGGACTCGAACCCCAGTTAATAGCTGCCTTTCGCGGGACTAACGCCTACCAATGCACCATGCCAACACAGCCTGGACGTTCACGTTTCTTATAATCTCAGATCAAGCCCATACACTAGTCGAAGAGCTGTATAGTTAATGTAGGAAATTATTTGCTGATGAAGAATTTTAATTAAGGAAGATTTCGACTATATCAGCAATTAGTGACATCTATTAGAAGTCAATTGAACTCTTTGGTTTAGAGTCAGGTGTTATTCTTAAGATAATTATTCCGATATGGTTGTCGGTAAATAATTATTTTTTTTGAATTTAATTTTTGATCTGTATATAGTGTATGGGCTTGATCTGAGATTATAAGAAACGTGAACGTCCAGGCTGTGTTGGCATGGTGCATTGGTAGGCGTTAGTCCCGCGAAAGGCAGCTATTAACTGGGGTTCGAGTCCTCACAGATGCACAGTGCAGTCGTTCACGCAGCTTATTTTTTCAGATCAAAAATTAAATTCAAAAAAAATAATTATTTACCGACAACCATATCGGAATAATTATCTTATGAATAACACCTGACTCTAAACCAAAGAGTTCAATTGACTTCTAATAGATGTCACTAATTGCTGATATAGTCGAAATCTTCCTTAATTAAAATTCTTCATCAGCAAATAATTTCCTACAATAACTATTTATTAATATTATTTACCATTTTGTTGTTAAATTATTTATAATTATTAATTTACGACTAATTAATAACAATACGGCATTTGTAGAAGAATTCAGGGTTAAGTCGCGCAACGTGACTCGAAAATGTGAAGCAACGCGCCCTCTTTTTTTTCAGTGTATAGTAAATTTTTTAAAAATATTTTTATTAAAAACTACGTGTGAAAATAAAAATTTTCATTATAAAAACGTTCAATTTGATCAATTATGTTATTTACTGATAAAATAATAATAATTTTTTATTTCATTTTTCATAATTTATATTTATACATTTAAAACATACATTCTAATAGGTGAAGAATGGGACATAATGCGTGGGACATGGTTCTACGATAGCAGTTGGATACCTTTAGAAACAGAGCATTCGGAAATAATAGAAAAAGTACATCTTAGATTTTTTCAACATCAAAAACTCACGCAATCAAATTCTGAACCCGAATTAGGATCAACTTCACATGCTTTTAAAGGTATACATAAGTCAATTATATAAAAAGTAATAAAACATTCTTTTTTGCAACACTAACCTCTAAAGTTAAATTTTACACACCGAAAAGTATGTGTAAAGAACCTCTTTATAAAACGGTGTGTAAAGTGATTCACTTTACGCACCGAAATTTACTTTACGCACTGTTTTGTATGTTTTAATGATTATGCATGTATACATAGTATATGTATATACTATGTATGTATATGTTTTTTTATGTTTTATGTTACATTTATTTATATTCGTATATATAAAAAAATAAAAAAAAAATATATATATATATATATATATCCTTATTAATAAAATCAGATGTCTGTCTGTACATTGCTTAAAACTTCAAAATGTTAACATGATTAGTTATTATGGACATCAGAGATTCCAAAAATGTTCTTAAAAAATTTAATGTATGTATGTATGTATGTATGTATGTATGTATGTATGTATGTTTGTCTGTCACAAAAACTTTGTACCCCAATCACACAAAAACATGTGAATCGATTTAAGTCCAACTTGGTTGGTTATTAGGTATTGACCCAAGGAAGGTTTATAAATTTACAGATTTAAAAAATATTAATTAGAACGGGAGATATTCAATTTTTTCAAAAAATTCAAAAAATCGAAAATTTCAAAATTTTTTATTTTTCATGGATTGCTTTTGAAGTTTATATACTTGAGTATTATATGTTATTTAGTCTCATTAAAGCATAACTTTGCAAAAAATAAAGTCCTATAACTAATATGTAAGTATAAAAATGTTTTCAAAAAATCGAAAATTTCAAAATTTTACATTTTTTTATGGATTGCTTTTAAACTTTCTATATTTGAGTATTACATGTTATTTGGTCACATTTTAGCATAATTTTTAAAAAATACTATTCTACAACTAAGATGTAAATATAAAAATATTTTCAAAAACTTGAAAAATGGAAAATTTCCAAATTTCACAATTTTTAATGGATAGCTTTTAAACTTTCTAAAAATGAATATTATATGTTATTTAGTCAGATTTTATCATAATTTTGCAAAAAATACTATCCTACAAGAAATATAAAAAAATTTTCAATATATCAAAAAATCGATACTAATTACTATATGAAGTATAATTCAGTAGTATTTTTGGAGTCTCTGATTAATATTTTGATGTCAAAATAGTGCAATTCAAAATTATTTATCAAATCAATCTAATATTTTCAAGAAGTTCAGAAATATTGAAAATGGAAATTTTTTATGATTAAAATGATTTCGCAGGATGTCAAGAATTGTAAGTCACCTGTGATACAATACAAGCATATTATGCCACTAGGCAAAAACTTACATGTTAAAACGTTTTTTCATTTTAACTCTAGATTTAACTTTAAGAGATGTTTTGAGCAATGTAAAGACAAAAGTTAACACGGTGTCTATTTTTGTTTAATTTTCATGCTTTGTCCAAATTTTTCACGGTTTATCTTTTTTTTGTCAAATTTAAATTTACTTGATTTTATCCATAAATAAATCTACAAATGGCTATAAAAATTTACTTATTTTATGAAAATACTGTTTTTTAAGTTCATATAAATATAGATTGTATTACTTGCTGTCGTACAGTTTTCTGTTTATACTAATACATTTAACTGGGTATCTACTAAACGGGAAAAACTGTAAAAAGCTGGGAATATGCCGAACCGGGAATTTTCCTATCAAATTAAGAAAAAGTTTCATTATATTAATTCGCTTTTAAAAAATTGCTTTTTACTTCAATTTTTATTGATGTATAATATTTATGAAAACAGACCCGAGTCAAAATTTAAGCCCTACTTTCAGCCTAAAATTTAGGTCTTATGTTAGGTTTTAGCAGTCGTAACGTAGGGTCTACTTGCGATACAATTAGTTCCAATTAGACTCTACTATAACTCCAAAAAATGTATGGAAAATTTAATTTTTTTAATACATTAATTAAAGTACTACAAATTGATAAATATTGTTCTCTGCATTTGAATTGGTTAAAATAACTAATTTGATAACAAAAAGTCAATCACTGATTCAAATAGTAATATTTTCCTACTAAAATAGCTATAATGGTAACTAATTATTATTTTTTTCCGGTCAAATTAAATTCCCTAGCTATTTCCTGATTTTCCAGATTGGTAGAAACTTAAATGTATTGGTAGAAACTAAAACCCGTCGAAGACGGGTACGACAGCTAGTATATTATATAAATACAAATGAACAACTACAATTCCCCTCATAGTTACTATAATTGTATAGAAATGTTGCCCAAATATTCCCGGTAAGAAGCGAGGAATTGAAAAGAATTCAGAAGTTCATTTCTTTTGAATGGGCGAATTTCCAAAATAATCCAATTCCTCGGTGGAGCAAGGTAAAGTAGCAAAATCTATTATTCTTAATTGACTTCACCAAAATATGAAACGCACATTCAAAAGAGTGAGAGAGTACATTAAATCAGTAGAAATTTCTATTCCACTGAATTGCATTACTATCACTCAATATTTCACTTGAAAAAAAGGTTAGGTTTTGAAAACTTAACGTTAAACATTGAACACTTGAAAATTTCTTTCATTTATTTCAATAAGAGAATTTTTTTATTTTATCGTAAGCACTGTGCGTTTTTAACCATATTTTCACTAGTTTTAATATTTCATTTTAATAATTTAGCACTGAAATCACAATGAAATTCACACGACGCGAAAAATAGCTGTCACTGCATTTTATTTTAAGACAATAACTAGAGGAGCTCCTACAAATAATTGGAAAGATTAGGCTTTTTAAAATTGTTTGTCAAAAGTTCTATTCCTCTTAATGTGTTTCTAAAATTCGAAGCAGTCAATTAAAAAGAATAAACAATTTCTATTCATTTGAATTGACTACGTAGAATCGCTTAAAGTCGATTGAAAAGAATATCTATTTCTTTTTTTTCAATTCGGTTTTACAAGATTTACTTTGTCGATTCAAAAGGATAGGATTCTGTATTTTTTTTGGAACGTTGAGAAGCAGAAAAATTTTGCGCATTCAAAAAAATAGAAACTCCTAATTCTTTTTTATCATCTCCTTGACACGAGCAATAGAGAGGAATTAATTTTTCTGATATTTTGCTGTTCACAGAGGAATTGGGTTTTTTTTGGAAATTCGCCTATTCAGAAAGATTAAAAAATCCTCGTTTAACAGAATATTTCTGGAAATTTAATCTTTTTCTATTCCTCGCTTCTTACCGGGTTATCAATATTTTTGCAAAATTCAGTGAGGGGGGGGGAGGTGAGTGTTGCAAAAAATGTTGTATGACACTCGTGCGTAAAGCTGATTATACAAATGTCACACTTGTATAATAATCACTCACTTTACGCACTTGTATCATAAATAACTATTATATTATATTTCTTATATTTTCTTTCATTTTTACATTCTCATCACATGAGAAGGTATTAGTTTTGATCGAAAATTGACTTTTGCTAATTTTATGAAATCTTTACGTTTTGGGGTCTCCTGAACCCGAAATTAGATTAGGAAAATACAAACTACTTTTCTCTACAACATTTTTTGGTAAAAACTCAAATTTCGAAGTCACAGGCTCTTAAATGGTAAAAAAAAATCCAAAATCCCAAAATAACGCTAAAAATCTTAAAGAAATAGAAGTAACTTTAACTATTTTCACATAATCTTACCCAAATACACCCAAAAAACATATTTATAGACATAAAACTCTCAATTTCTCGAAAAACCACTGTATATATATTGGGGTGGTTCTTATTTTGGAAAAATTGGAATTTCTTAGGTCGCCGGACGGAATTTGAATTAAAATGTGAAAACAATTAGCTACCCACAAGAACAGCCCATTTGATGAATATTAACCCGTGCCGACGAAGGGTTAAAGTTTAAATGGGGTTTAACATGGGTTTGGTGCACTTCTGCAAACTTTGTATTACAACTTTTCCATTTCTCAAAAATTTGACTTAGATCTATATATTCCCATAGTTTTTCGCACGCTGAACATGAATATGATGTCAAAAATAACTTTTGATAACTACCGGTTGTCAAAGAAGCTGTCAAATTTTTAAATAAAGAGAATTTTCAAGATTTTTACATTAACTTTTACGAATAAAACAGTTTCTTGTGAAAATTTTAGTTTATATCTAGCAATTTAATACACTTTGACAGTTGACAGCTGTCAAATGAGTTGTCAACTTTTATAAACACCAGTTTTCAAAGAGTTTTAAATGAATAATCCCAAAAAACGGTTCTGTGGGTAAATTTAGTTCATATATAGGTATTTAATATATTTTGGAAGATGACATCTGTCAATTTAGTAGTCAACTTCTATATAATAGGATTTTTTAAAAATTTCCTAATTATTTTTTATAAATGATTTTTTAAGAAAACTTAGTTTATATTTAGGAATTTAATATATTTTAACATTTGGCAACTGTCAAAACAGCTGTCAACTTATATACGACAGAATTTTTCCCAAAGTTTTTAATTAATTTACCAATTTTGTAAGCTTTTGTAAATTGTGTAATAAATAAATGAAAATAAACAAGTCTAACTTTCATTGAAACTGAATTCAATTCTGAATTAATTCCTTTTTAATTCCTTATAAGTTGACAACTGTTTTGACAGTTGACCCTGTCGCGAGATTTTGGCTAGACGTAATTAATTTATTTAATTAAGAAAGAAAAATCAGGGGAGGTAAGACTCGGACGGGAGGCACAACAACGGTGAGAGATCCACGGTCCTGATGAGCAGTAGAGCGACAAACTTGTTGCTCGTCCAATGACCAGAGAAATTGCGTGAGCAAAGGCGAACTTACCGGTAGACGACAATTCCTCTCGGTTGGTTCAGTGCAGCGAATCTGGATTGGCACTCGAAGAATAATCCAAAATGCGGGTTATTAATGGATGATAAAATATAACATTTATTATCGTAACACTAAGAACTAATTACAGGTGCAACAATTGTTCGCAAAGTCGCGATTACAAAATTGCGTGTTTA